TGGGAGTTGAAGTCCACTCATCTTAAAGTGGCCAAGTTTGGACAACACTGCTCTAAACCATCCTACACTTCTTTCTGCATTATACAAACATGGAGAAAAGCCATATTTAAGGAGGCAAACCTGGAGTTTTGTCCTAATGCCAATCTGCAGCCCAGATATGGGATCTCATATATTTGCAGTCAATGGCAATAATCCTAAATATTCAAAATTTGCAGCTTTATTCAGTGCTTATTGTTTCAGTTTGTTAGATGCTGTTTCACAGTGAGGTGGCTGAATAGCAAGGTAGAAATTTCATGTAACTTCTGACTAAGAAGCTTGAAGTAAGTGACACAGAAGGACCCACCTGCTAATTCTTCTGCTTTCTGTAACCTTCCTCAGAAAAACACGATGCCGACTGCTGCTGAAAACCTGGGGATCCGGACTAGAGATGAATCCTGGGCTTTCTGAATCGGGCCAGCAAGCTTCCCCCTTACCTTACTAAAGGCCTCCCCAGGTAACTTGCTTTCTTGCTGTTGGCTGAATTGCTGCAGTCCATGTGTGCTGCCTGTGTTAGTTACCCACAAGTCATCCGAATGGCAGTGCAACCTGATGCCAATCAGGAGGGGGAGCGGGGTTGGACTGCAATTCTTTCCCCTCATTTGCTGCATGTGGCAGGAGTTGTAGTTGCTACAGAGGCCCTTTGAATGGTTGAGGCTCTTCTCTGTCCTTTCTTTGGGACCCTTTGGGGAAGGAAGGAGTTAAAGATACAGAGGAATACTTATATCCCTCAGAAGTGGCTGCTAGCCATTCATCAAATTTTCCTGTCCTGCCACTGTCTTTTAGGGGAAGTCATTGACCCCTTCCTTCCAATACAGTTGCTGTTCTTTCCTCTCCCCAGCCACTGAGTGGAGGCAGCTAGATAAAGATAATGTTTTCTTTTTTTAAGAAAAAGTCATATCCAAACCTGCAACATTCTGGGAGGAAAGCATCTCTAAGTCTTCTGGAAGGCAAGCCTGACCTGGACGTTTTTCAAGTGGTCAGGCAGGTCTTGCCAAGCAACTTACTGGGCCCTCTTGCTCTTCAACAGCCATCTTTGGGATGACCTGGAGTTTTTGATAAGTAGGCTGAATAATACCTGACACACTGAGGGTCAATTACAGGCCCCGTCCAAAGATGTGGGGTGGGGATTGGATTGGCCAAGAAAGCCCTGGTTTCGATATCGGGGCTCTGCATCATCAGGTACCTGCCCAGGCCACGAAGAGGGTCTACAGCTTCTTTGGTCTGCTGTTGCTGCCTACTTACCTGCCATACTCAAGATAGGGGCAATGACAAAAGCAAGGAAGAGGAGCCGTTTGCCTTCCCTTTATCTACCAAGATAATACAATTCTCTCAGCAGTGGTCTGCAGCCTCCCTAATTTCCCATGCTTTTTCAATCATAAGGGAAGGGTTATCATGAAGGAACTTCCCCAGAGAACCTTTTGAGTAACAGTGCAACCATCCCTGCTAAGGAGGAAGCCTGCCCTTGAGAAATGGTGGGAGAAGTTCTCCATCTGGAGCCATTTTAAGAACTCATCCGCCCAATTTCTCTGCCCACGTATTTGGTGAAGAATTTCTAAGGGCCAACTTGGTTCCCACTGTTATGCACTGAACTGCCTGTTGCTATGTGTCAAATACATTCAGCAACTTAGTGAGATGAAGGGGCAGAGATCCAGAAGGGTAAATGCTTCTGCAGCTGAAAGGAAAGGAACCTTACCCATCTGTAATTAATGTTTCCTATAATAGCTGTGTCAATATCTGGTCCACGTGGCCAGATTCTCATTGCTTCTTGCATACATGCCATCACCTTGCTTTGGGGATGGAACTCCCCTGAAAGTATTTGTTTATATACCAGTTTGTCCCATAGTCATTGCTGCCCATCCCAACAGGCATCCTCCTTTCCAGAGGCCATGGGAAGGGCTGATGTCTAGTTGTTCTTTAAGCCATTAATAATTTGGGGTGGGAAGTAAGCAGTGGGCTTGTCTATTTTTTTTAAGTTGGAGGGAAGCAATTCCACTTTTTATTCCATACACACACAGACCGTGGGAGTGAGGAGCAGCACTGTGCTTCTCCCAGTCTGCCTGGGGTTCAGGCCTCTAACTCTTGGAGACTTATGTTGCAGGGGAAGGTGGGGCTTCCAACCTACTACTTAAGTGAAAGTTGAAGCATAATATATTTTAATGAAAAAAAAAAAAGAGCAATGCTGTTACTTGAATACCTGTCTTGTTTCTTTGACAGTCATGTTATGTCTTTAAGTAAGCAAAGGCACACCTTAATTGTTATACAGATGTTTGATTAAATGTGGGAATCTCATTATCATTCTACTGTATATTCTTTAAAAGCAGTCTGAAAAGATCAAAGCCATGAGTTGTGGAAACTGGAACTTAAAAGCGAGTGATGTTTGTGGTGATTCTTTGGCTAGGTCTATGTTGAGTAGACCTAAGTATTTGAACCCTAGTTCTGCTAATCTTTCCTCAAACCTTGGGCCTGATTTATCAAGCCAGATGCAGTCTGCCAGCCATGCACAGTTACAGTCTCTGAGTTTTCACACATTCCTAACCAGAGTCCCAAGACTCTAGAGGGCCACGATGTTGGTGCATTATATTAGTCATGCCTGATCTAGTTTTTGTTTCCCAACCTGCTTCTTTCTAAAAAATAGACTTTATTGGGTCTATGTTACTAGAAGACCCAGGGGAAAATGGTGCTATAGATCCAAGTTTTAGGCCTTTTCTCAAGCTAGCAGCCCAATGTGGCAAATAAGTTTTTCCTTGGAACACCAACCATGCCATTCTTATTTGAGATATGCTACCAGGTATTTGTTTTTCTTTTCTTCCTCCAATGCTACAGTTTGGTGAAAATATACTTTGCATACTGAAGGTTCCAAGTTTGTTTCTTAGGACCTCTGTTGTATACAAGTTCTGAAGAACAAAGAGCGTGGAAAGCCTTCTGTCTGGGTCTTTGGGGAATTGCGGCAGTAAGAGTCAACGACAGTGAGCTGGTTGCTCCAATGGTTTGACTCAGCCTGCATTGTATTATCTGGAGCCTGATCATTAGTGCCCTTTTGAATGCCCTTCATCCTCATAGATTCACCAAGAGGTGCCAGTGAATCACTAATTATTGCTGTGTTTGGAGTAAACAAACACAAGAATGGAATGGAAAGAAATGGTCATTGGACAATTTGTGATGAAAAAGTAGGATTGCTGCAGTTCCAGCTGGTAATATGCCCCCACGTATGGGCAAACCGCTGACCTGACTGCATGTTTTGAAGTGGCCCCATAGGGAAAAGACTTTTTCCACCTGAAGAGGGATATGTTCTGAAAGCTGGTATGCCCTGGAAAACAGATCCCTCTTCTGACTTCATCCTATGCATGGCAGACCTTGCCTTCTTAACAAGAATAAGGAATGATAATTGTCCTGTAAAGGATCACACATGAGAAGTGGTGCAATGGCCTGCTGTCATACCAGGAAACCTCTTCTCTCTCTGCCCTCTAACCAGCAGTGTGCCTATCTATTTTCCCCAGGAGACTGAGCTATGAACCAGGAAGTGTGTACTGCCAGTCACACCACAGCTGTGTCCTTAGTTAACCCACTTTCTCTCACTCTTGGCCTAATGTGGAAAGAATAATACTGTCCTACCCTGCAACACTGCTGCAAGGATGATTCCAGAGATAATATACATGAAGCATCTAGATAATTACTGATCAACATTTGTAACTCCCCTGACTTTCTCACAGCAGATGGCAGCATGTAGCCAACCTTGATTGATCTCAGAAAAGCTACACGGTAACAGACCTGGTTAGTTCTTGAATAGGAGACTATCATGACATCCCAGGGCTGTAAGGTACACTGGGAAGTAAAAAAAAAAAAAAAGAATCCCCAGAAAAAGGCAGTAGTAGCAAACCACTTCTATATTGTTGTCACTGGGAGTTGAGCTTGACTCATGGAAGACTTTACTTTGACATTGTTCCATATCTCTCAAGCTTTGCTCCATATCTCTCAAATATCAAGTTCGCTGAGCCTACCATTTTGAATAAAAATGTGTAAAGCACCTTGGACCTAATTTCCCCAGTGCTGGTGGGGGAAGACCAGATATTTCTGGGGAAAGATAGCATCTAGCCAAGTTCAGGGATACTCATGGTTATTGGACTGTTTTTCCACAGTGCTTACTAAACTACCTGTGCTGGTCCAGCTGATAACGTCCAGCCAGAATCTGGGATTATAAGTGTGACCAACCTAACTGTATGACCCAGCCAAAAAAACCAGGCCATTATGAGGTGGATGGGATGCAAAAGTGATACCTAAACTGCAACCTTGGAGGTATCTGCACAGGAGGCTGTGCCAGAGCCCTAGATAAGGCAAGAATAACACTAGAGGCATGGAGTGGCAATGGATAAGGATTAACAGAGTAGTATTTTACTAGTTAGCCATTCCTTGTTCTTTTGGCTAAGACAAAAGCTTTTAAAGAGGAGTGAGCAACGCTAGTATTTGCATTTTCTATGGCAACCTTCCCCAGATTTACTGGATCTACCAGTGTGAGAACACTTATCCAGCACAGGTGTCTGAAGGGAAGGCTGATCTAAGATCTGATGTATGTAAATGCATACACCATGATGCCTGTATGTTCCTATTCTGTGGTTCTTTAAAAATTTGCTTGCTGTTAGTGTGGGAAAGTTCCCAATCATGTATACACATTTCATCCTTAAGACTTTTGTAGGAATGGTGGAATGTATTTTCAGGGGAGGAAAAGGCCTACTCAGTGCACCTTCAGAGACACTGCATGAAACATTTCAGTTCTCAAACCTAGGAACAGAGGTTTTATGTTTGCCTGTTGGTCTTTCAGTTGGAATCCCACAGGATCTGCCATTTTGAGAGACAGCCTGTTGCAAGGCATCAGCTAAAAAGATGAGGGAGCAAATAGTCAGATTCTGTCCATACCCTGAAAGTTAAGGTAGAGCAAGAAGTTTTGCCTCTCAGTTACTAATGACACCAATATCAGGAGAGGAGAGGAGAGGAGAGGAAATGATTTTCTTGTGTGGGCCTGAGATAGGCTGTGCAGAAGCCTAAACTGGAATGGGGAAGAAATGTGTTCAGTGCCCATTTTGATGTAAAGATATCAATGTGTATTTATTTATATATTTGGAAATTGTTGATACCACCAACTCCCTCTACGCCTGAAAAACACACTACAAACTCTCGTAAAAAACAAGAAACATAAGACACTGAGATCTTACATTACAACACTCATCTGTTAAAAGGCTTCTGTGAATAGGTCTGTTTCTGGCTCCCTCTGAAGCTTAATAAAGAAGGCATTTCCTTCAGCTCCAGTAACAACAACTTCTATAGCATGCACCCTTCCTGAAGAAAGCAGAATTAACTGCTGACAACAAATATATCTGGCAGGACCTACAACAGGCACTCTAAGAATTGCAGGGATGATCTATGTGGAAGAAGACAGTCCTTGTAGTAGCTTGGGCCTAAGCCTTGTAAAGCTTTACACATCATCCTGAACCTTTTGAACAGGAGTTGAAGTCCACTCATCTTAAAGTGGCCAAGTTTGGACAACACTGCTTTTGAACCTTGAATGAAGTGAAATGCTGCTGTCCCTAATGATTCATAGTTTCAAAATGTTGCCATTTAGTTCTCTGCAAAAACTATAGTATACAAAACTGTATATATTATGGAAAATCCCTCTACTAGGAACAAATGTATATGAAAATGTGTATCTTGATGAAGATAAAATATACTGTAGAACATTTATACAGAGGAAAATGTTTTTGCCCCAGACTACAAATTAGGAAAATTGAAATAAACAAAGAAACATATGTAAGACATATATTTTCATTTAGTTTTTTTTTTTTTTTTACAAAAAGTTACAAGCTGATATGGAAACAGGATAAACTGAACTTCAGGTAAGAAAAATGTAAAACTGTACTGAAATTGTCAGATTCACTCCTCCCTAAGCTTGTCAGCACAAATCAGCAAAGAACTTAATTATGTATACTTGAACATGATTAATGTGGTCCAACTATAAAGCCATTTTCCATAAAACAAATGTTGTCATGTAAACAATGCCTTTTTTTTTTTTTTTTTTTGAGATTTCTATGCTAACATGCCAGAATGTGGGAAGCAAGGGTCAGGTTTTTCAGCTGAGGAACTGCCTAGCAACTACCTCAAACATTAAAGATTGCTTTAAAAAAAAAAAAAAGATGAAATCTGAGCATTTAGGGAGGGGGGCTGGATTATCCTGTAGGAAGATCTCTTCAAACAATGGTCGCATTGATGAAGTGAAATGAATATTCTTAAAACGGATGGCTCTCCCTGTCCCCAAATCTCTTCTATGTCGGTTTTTCGCCTGCTGTTTTAAGCAAATAGTCTGATTGATTTTGTGTGTCTTTTTTCATCTCCAGATTTCGCCTAGTTGACCCTCAGTTCCTCTTTTCCAAATGAACTTATTTCTGGTGTGGTCTTATCCCAATGCCCTCTGTTAGAGACCTCCCTGGGGGGGTACCTCTATAACCAGTCATGGGGAATGTCTACAAGTACTACTTCAACAAGGACAAAATCTTCCAGCACTACAACTACACTAAGGACAAGCTAGAGAGAGATGAGGTGTCTTCGCTGACTCCCATTGCCATTGCCATCATTGTGCTCTGTTGCTTCATTATCCTGGAGAACCTGCTGGTGCTCATGTCCGTTTGGAGGAACAAGAAATTCCACTCAGCCATGTTCATCTTCATTGGCAATCTGGCCTTTTCAGACCTCATGGCTGGCTCGGCCTTCATTGCCAACATTGTGCTCTCGGGCCCAGCCACCTTTCGCCTCACTCCGATACAGTGGTTTGTGCGAGAAGGCACTGCCTTTACCACCCTGGCAGCTTCAGTCTTCAGTTTGTTAGCCATTGCGATTGAACGACACGTGGCTATCACAAAGGTGAAGGTCTACAGTAGTGACAAGAACTGCCGGATGGTGCTGCTGATTGGGGCCTGCTGGGTCATCTCAGCCACCATTGGGGGGCTGCCCATCCTTGGCTGGAACTGCATGTCTGATCTTGAGAAGTGCTCCACTGTTCTGCCCCTTTACTCTAAAAGCTACATTGTCTTTGTGGTTACCATTTTTACTGTCATCCTCTTCTCCATTGTGGTCCTCTATGTCCGGATCTACCGTATCGTCCGCTCCAGCCATGCTGAGAAAGCCAGCTCCCAGACAATGGCCTTGCTCAGGACAGTTACCTTTGTCCTGGGGGCCTTCATCATCTGCTGGCTGCCTGCCTTTACCATCCTCCTGATAGACGCTTCATGTGCCAGGAAGTCTTGCCCTATCCTTTACCAGTCAAAGTATTTCTTTGCCTTTGCTACCCTCAATTCAGCCATTAACCCCCTCATCTACACCCTCCGCAGCAAGGACATGAGGAAGGAATTCTTACGGGTGCTGTGTTGCTGGGGGATGATGGGGCAGGGAAAGCCAGCAGAGCGTTGCATGATCCCCCTCCGCAGTTCCAGTTCCTTGGAGCGGTGCACCCCAAAACAGGACCTTCCCACTTTATCTTTCATGAAGGAACATTCCACATTTGTGTGAAAAGATACAAAGAAAGGAACTATGGAATGGACAGGCACTGGCAAAGAATGGGGGGTTGGATTGGACGCAAGAAAGCGGTACAAACCTGATGAATATATTGTCCTGGTGGCCAAATCAACCTGCCTTGGACTTATGTGGAGGTGTCCATTTGTTCACTAGACCTGCACAGTATTATGAATTTATGTTAGGAGTGTGTGAGACAGAGTGACTGCTGACTGATTGACTGACATGAAGTGGGGAAGGGTGGGTAGCTGCTGAGCTACCAAGAATCTGATTTGGTACGATTCTCCTCTTTTCTAAAAGTTGCCCTTGTCTGTGTTTAGACCCACATGTTTTTTGGTCCTGCATCTCCAAGCCATACTTTCAGATTTCTCCTCTTTCCACAAAACATTCATTCGCTCTTCCCAGCAAAGCAATCTGTTGCTTTGATCAGTTGGGCCCTTTGCAAGTTTAGTTGATTAAAACCAGACTTCAACTTGAGGCACTCAAGACTGCAACACTTGTAATCCCAACCAGATGACCCCTGCGTTTCTTGTGTAGTGACTGAAGTTGAAGACAATAATTTCTTTAGAAGCACAGAGGGTATTTTGATAGTACCTTCGCTGCTGGAAATATGAAATATCTGGCTCTTCACTTTCTGAAGGGAGTGCAAAGGTTGTTTCCAAAGACGTATGTAGAGCGGCTTTGGGTACATATCTGCTAATGTTCTTGACATTACAGATGCCAAACTATATGTTCTCTTCATCCTTGCCAAAGCATTATCATTCTTTTAAAAAGCCTCTTCCTCTCCTGTAACGTGGAAGTTAAACAAGTTTGAGGTTTTTTTAAATATGGTAAAGGATATATACAGTGATTAAATAAATGCACAAAAATGCATAAGCAGCTCTTGTGGATAGTGAAGAGAAACATTGCAAAGCTATCATAATTCCTACTAAAGTTATCCTTTCTGTTTTTAATATTTTTCACTGAACAGAATGCATTTAGGTTCTGTGGGATTGGATTTACATCTGGTTTTAAATATGTTTTCAAAAGCAATAACAAAGCATTTCTCCACCTTTCAGTAGCCACCCCTTCCCCTTCCTATCTTGAAGTAAGTTTCCTATTTCCTTCCTTAGCTTGCCTTTTTGAAGCTAAACTGAGATATAATGATAAGAGCAGTTAAGGGGATATTTTTCTGAAAACATCACATGTACAAGCAATCTGAATCTGTAGACTTATATTCACTCAAACTGTTTCCTTGTAGTAAGTATGGATAGACTTAATGCATATTAAGAAAGAGTGGATTTAAAAAATAAGGTTTTTTAAATGAGAGAGGGAAGATTTGTTTTAATTTCATTCTTTCACACTTTCACATAAGGCTGGAATTTCCTAGAACCCTTGGGAAAAAAACCTCATCAGTGTATGGTTGCTCTCATTTTACATAATCAGCATGGATGTCATTACCAGTGGTAATCCTTTTGATTTTCCTTCAGGAGCCAAACAAAAAGTTTCAGTTTGGACAGATTTGCAGATGGGCAGATTAGGGAATTTAACAGATTTTAATTGACATGCCCTGGTTTGGCCTAATAGATTTAGATGCCTGAGATCCAACAGGCAAATGCCAATTTCAGTTCATTTAATAAGAGGCAGTCCAGGGGAAGTTCGCCTGCAGAAGCATGACTGAAATGAATAGAATTTACACCATTCAAACATGAGCACTTATCTACTCTAAGCATGTGGAACCCTTTTTTTAAATGTGAGAAAGGCTAGCTTCTCTCTTTCTGAAATGCATTACATTCAGGAGCATTAAATATTTATAGCCCCCCCCCCCAAAAAAGGAATATAAAACTAGTTAGACCAGCAACTTTGTGACCGCCATTCCCATTGGTTTGCCCTTTGTCCTGCAGCTCTGTAGAACTTGGAGAAAACTTCCTTGCTGAGCAAGATTTCCCATCTTCTATGCACCTTTCCAATTTCAATGCCCTTGTAGCCCATACTGTTCCAAGTGGCACTGACAGGGAAGGAGTTCCTGAAACCATCCAAAAGCTTCTTAAACCATGCAATTTTATGTATGCCGAGCCAAAAATAAGCCCCATTAAGTTTAGTTTATCATTCAGCATATGGCTGCCTCAATGAACTGAGTAAACCGAAGCTCATATTAGGAGGGTACTTCAGGGAACAAAAGCAATGCTGAGACATTACATGCTTAGAGAACATCTATCCAAAGTCCTTGTCATCTCCTAATATACTTTTGGAGAATGGAGCTCAGGGAGGGCTCAGCTTAACATTCTGGAAAGCAGGGCAACCCTTCTCAGCGTGTGTAGTAGTGGATTAAGTTGAAGACCAGTAACTAGAACCTTTAGAAGCAAATGTGGCTCCATCAGGAGGATCAAGTCCTCAGTTTCTAGCCCACTGGCAATCTGGTGGTGGCAACAGGACTTGCTGGCAGGTCATGCTGAAATGGGAATGAGGTGTGTGACCAGGCCATGGTTTGCCCCTTTTGAAAGAAATGGCAATGTGAAAGACTGGTCTGATGCTGGATTTGGCAGCAACTTCTAGCCAAACCCTGTTCCCCCACTCCCCAAGGACACTAATTCTGAGGGAAGATTTTGCATCAGAATAATCTTCAGCCCTAACCATGTGTGTGAAGAGGCTGGGTTTGTACACACATGCAGTCTGTCTTAAGTATCCCTGTCCCAACCTGAAATTCCAGTCTGCAGCAGAGGCTTTGTGACTTCTATCCCAATAACAACAACAATCAAGCTATAGGGTGAGAACAAAGGAGTGCTGGGGGGCTTGCGGGGAGTGGGTTTCTGAGGTTGGGGCATCTCTAAGAAGTGATGAAAAGCAGGAAAGGTGGCAATGCCTTTAAGGAGAAAGCCAGAAGTGGGTGTTTCCTGCCTGCATAGCTGGTTCCAGCCTGGAAATGTGATTCACCCAGCATGATGTGTAGGAACATGCCATAGGAGGGTGAGAGGAGGATGTTTTTATGAATCAGAATGAGATGCAAGCGTGGGAATCATTTCCCTCCTCAGGCACAGGCAATGCAGTCCAGAGTAATTTAAGGAACCATCATCCCCACTTTCTTTGCTCCAGAACAGTGTTCTGAAGGAATGTATTCCTGCATACAACTCACTTAGCAACCACAATTTGGACTGGCAATAGGTCATTAAGCGAAGCCATCCCTAACTGTGCTTATAATCTTACTTCAGCTTTCCTTTGCTTTACAGACCCGCAAAGGTCGTAAATGCAAGGATTGGTCATAAAGTTACTTTTTCATCTCCGAATGGTTGCTAAGCAGGGCAGTCACTAAACAAGGACAACCTGTACATATATAACCTCCCCAAGGCATGAATACAATCTCCCCAACTAACTGAAAACCAAAAATATTATAACTTATCACTTCCTGCATAACACGGTTCCTGGTTCCAAATAATACAGACTGTAGCTTGGAGAGGAATGACAGGATCACAGCCCATTGTACTTACTGTATAGGCAAGGGTGCAGCTTATGAAATATCCACCTAGGACATAATATGAGCCAGAGTTGTTTCAGCTCTGGAATCCAACAACAAGGATATGATCTACAGTTGAGATGTCTTTATCATAAAAGGCAGAAATGCATATGTGAGCATATGCCTCTAATGCTTATCTCTTACCACTCTTGTATCTCAGATAGACACTAACTTCTTAGGTGGGTTTTGAGCATCAGCACCTCTCCCAGGATAGATGAAAGCACAGAAAGTGTAGAGTTGGATGTGGTAAAGGAACTGTTACCAACAACAGGTATGAAATATGGGAGTTAGGGTAGAGCAAGGGAAAAAGTACACAAACATGAAAGCGTAGAGTAACAAGGAGCTGTGGGTCACCTTCCTGTGGATATACCTTAAGCAGCTAAGCAAATTATATGAGAAATGATTTAAGTAAGGTGAGATAGCAATCAGTATATGTGTGTGTGTGTGTGTGTGTGCATGCATAAGCACATTTTTGGCATGCCTACTCTAAAGTAGGTCCCATTAAGTTCAGTGGGATTTCAGTGTATGTCTAACTGCAAACTTAAACTATGAAGCATGTATGTTTATGCTGCTTGTCATAGCCATGAAGTATCACCATGTTTGTCCTGTGTATGTAAGTGTGCATGTAATCTTTAGTATGCAAGTGCCAGTAGATGTGGCTATGTGACATACTGTAGCTCCTCTGTAAGGTATTCCTGAGTTGTCATGTTACATGCCTGCATTGACATCAATGTATAGATGATGTCAATGCCACCAATGTCCACACTGAGGCTGGTGTCTAGGCCTATTCGTCTTTCTGTGAAGGGGCATGGACTAATGCCCATCCTTGGCAAGAAGGAGTCTGCTATGACATTTCTGTACGCATGAAGGGATGCTGTGCACCAGATGTCCGGCTCTCTCTTCCTCTGGCTACGGTTTGTACTTGCTTTCTCGCTTTTGCTCTTCCTGTGTGGCCAAATCTGGGGCAAGACCTTTGGCTGCTTTCAAGCAGAGGCTGTTACATGATGTTTGGATGTTCCTCCTTTATGGGAGGGGGAAGCCCCCCCCCCCCACCGACTGACTCCATTCACTTCTTACCAGTAGCAATCAAGTTCCCACTGATTGCAGGTGACCTTGAAAGGGAGAATATAAGCAAAAATGGCATATTGGTGTTGAAATTATTAATAATATCCAGGGTTTAAGGCGACGGAGAATGAGTATTGCTCATGCTATGACCATTCAATTCACTATTATTTCTGCTGGTAGATTTTTCAAGGTCTTCTAGGCCTTCCAAAATCTGTAAAAGCTCATTTTAGTAGAGCAAAATGGGTGTTTGAGTGTGTGTGTGTGTGTGTGTGTGTGTGTGTGTTTGTATACATCCTCTTAAGCAATATGGGTTATTTTAAATTATCCATCCTTTGCTATTATCTCCATCCCCAATCCCTGATTTGTTGAGTTGGTATACAGTACAAACTTAACAATGTTTGTGTTTTGAACCAATACACCAAGATTTCCTTATCATTTGAAATTTGTACATTTCTGAATTACTGTTTTAAAAATGCACTTTTTCAAATTTTGTGGTGCCACAAGTCTGTACATATTCATTTCTGCATATGTTCATGAAAATAATGTACACAAATTTATCATATTAAGAAAGTTTGTTTGCAGAAGCTATGTAACATTAGGCAAAATTGTCAAGCAAATGCAACCGAAATTGGATAAATGCACACCAAACAACGTTCAGATTTTAATGTAAACTTGGGGGGGAAAATTCAAGTTCAATAGATCTGCAAAAACTGAGATTCAGAAAAACTGACAAATTTATAAAAATCCGGTTCCGAGAGAAAGTGAAATATCTCCCTATCCATAATCTATGCCCAATTTGAAATACACCTATGCATTCATCCTATGCTAAATGCCTCTGTTGCTTTCTTGTTCCATTCACATAATGAATTGTAGCAATTCCCTGATAGGCTGGTTTACTAAGAGCCACTTTGGTACTATATAGTGGTTAAGGTGCTGGACTAGAAACAGGGAGACTGTGAGTTCTGAGTCCCCTCTTAGGCACGAAAGCCGGCTGGGTGACTTTGAGCCAGTCACTCTCTCTCAGCCCAGCTCACCTCACTGGGTTGTAATGTGGGAAATAGGAAGAGGGAGCATTACGTATGTTGCCTTGAATTCTAAAAAATAAAGCAGGATATAAATTAAACAAAGTGAAGAGAGGAAAACTACAGCTGGGAACACAGCTAGCACACTTGAGCCTGCAGGTGGCTGCTTTGAGGATATGCCTTTAACAGGAATAGCATGTCCCACCCTTGAGCGTGGCAAGCCTGCAGTCAGAGGGCCTCTTTATAGCACAGATGTGGCAATGTAACAAAGCATCCTGCTAATGTAGGGGCAGGGGCTGGAAAAATCTTGCGGAATACCAGCTAACCTATTCATGATGAATTTCCAGGATTCTGTGCAATCACCCATGATTTTAAATGGTTAAAAGATTTACATAATATGTGGTATAAATTCTGTCCGTAGAGGCTGAAGAGTTGGAAATCCCTGGGCCAGTCTGTGGAGCAAACTTTACCCTAGCAAGTGCCAGGAGGAGCAATCCGCCACTCATATCACCAGGTGTCAGTCTCTCTTTGGCACACACACTAAACGGTACCATCTTTATCCCAGCAGAATCTTGCCTGTGGAAACACTAACTTTTATTTTTTTAATATATATATAAATATATATATATACAATTGTCCCTTTTAATGGAGATATATATGTATTAAAATGTTTGCTTCTAAACTGGGCCCTTGTGCATTTTTCTCCCTGTGCACATTGCAGAAGATATATACGTTTGCAAAAGCAATAAGGAAAGAAGGGAGGAATTAGTGGCGTCCAGATGTTGCTTTTTTTTCATTTACTTATTTGCTTACTTTATTTTTAGACCGCCACATTTCACATGGACTCATGGCACTGTACAGTGAAAACCAAGTACAATCATCACAATAATCATTGCAAACAGTACAAATATAATAAGCACAGTATTTATAGTAAGAATATAAGCATTCTCCATCGTTGGCTGCACCAGCTAAAATTACTGAGAATTTTGCACCAGCAACATCCAGAAGACCATGTTTTCCCTCGTTCTGAAGACAGGTAGGAAAATGTAGCCAACCTTCCCAGGAGCATAAAATATTCAAGGTCCCACCCACTTCTTCCCCTCCCAAGGCACCCCTTTGTATACAACACTGGGAAGTACATCTCTTACAATATGTATGTGCTATGAAAATGTGGAAAAGTGCTAGTTTTACATATGCATTATGAAATAACTGGTACAGTGTAGAAAACTAAGTGTGTTTCAAGTACTAAAACAAGTGTGGTAGAAATCCTGGGTAGTAGTCATCATAATTCAAGTAAACTCAAGCCAATCTAACCTTCAAAGATGAAAATGCTTAGAAAGAGCAATCCTCACAACTGTCATTTTAAGGCTCTCTGATGCTGGAGAATCCAAAGAATCTAAAGCTCTGTCATTATGAGGTAGGCAGGCAAAAAAGGACAGGTCTTCTTGTCTCTGGTTAGAGATGTCCTGACTTCCTGGTCAGAGGAAAGAGATCCTGAATGTCCTCCCATATTGGGGAGTATGAATATGGACTGGGAGCACTGGATTTTGCATGCCTCTTGTTGGCCCCTTCTGACAGTAAACTAGTCTTCAAGATTTCCAGGGGGAGGACCCAAATGGGAGAAATCTGAAAAACCTAATCTCTGAGTTGCCCTCCTAAGGATCTATATGGCTGCACCCTCAATAGGTTGGGACTCAATTTACCTACTATTTTTATTCTTTTCAATAGTAATTTGGGCAGGGCGGGGGGAAATTAGGAACAGCTAAGCTGCTTCCAAATTCTTCGTTATCTGCCAAAGAATGGTATTTCCTTCCATGACACAATGTGAATGGAGCCCCGCATTGTGAAAGCTATACCCATCAAACTTTCTGTCACTGTTTTTGTTAGGGGATGTAAGCAAGTGAAGTCCTTTAAATATTTTGGACTGTTATTCCCATTATTGGTTATCGTTGACTATGCTGGCTAGGACTAATTAGTATCTGGAGGACCATACCTTATCTACATCTTTACATTTGGGATGGGAAACTTCCAGCTCCAAAAGATACTTGCATGCGTAAGTTACTTACTTACATAAACCCACACATAAACCCACCCTTATATGCACACACAAAATGCATTCACCTAGATTTAATCTTCCTCCCAACAATCTTAATGCAGCAAAGACTGAGGAAAAGCAAATGACCCTTTCTCATTTGCCTGCCTCCCTACTTTGGCAAACCAAAGTTGCAGTCACTGCTGATTTTCTGATAGGCCCCATTTCTACAAGACATGGTGACCGTGACGTCCTCAGTGGAGAATCAGGTCATCAGATGCTCCAACTTCTACACTGAGAGGACTGTGGACACCTATGAAGGAAGGCATCACAAGAATCTGGGTAGCCCAGTCTGGTTTCCCTCAACAGAATTGTCATTTTCTATCACTCCATCCTGTCCCCACACTTTAAAATGAGCTGCTTAACTGAGCCTTCCCAAGGAAAGGAAAGCGCAGTTCTCAGCAGGATTTTTGCTTAGTTCTCTCTAGGGAGATGGGGGCAGTGGGATGTTTTTAAATAGAGTATTTTGCAATCATTCTGTCCCCCTGGATATGATCATGTTTAGCTCCCATAACCTGAGCCAGACAGGGTTTGTGAGGGGAGTAATCTGTATTCCATTTGCTAAGAGTGTTTATGAGCTATTTCCTTCCTCCTCTTACCCTGAGGAAGGAATAGGATGGAACCAAGGAAGGCAGAGCCTGGCCCAGACATATACTGCAGCAATACTGGTTTCACCAGGCGGTCAGAGCTTCACTAATGCAAAGGAGCCAACAGTAAGAGCACATTTTCCAGTTTCAGTCCCAGCACCTCTATCTAAGTAGGCCTGAGAAAGACAATTCTGAGACCTTTGGCCAGTCAGTGAAGATAAAGCACAAGCGGTTCAATGCTTTACTCCTTGAAGTTTTGGACTTCAAATATCAAACGCCTCAGCATTCATCAGAGATTATGCTACCTGTAATCTGAAATCTCTAAAGAAGCATTTTCAAATTTGGCAAGTTTAAGATGTGTGGACTTCAACTCCCAGAATTTCCCAGTGCTGGCTGGGGAATTCTGGGAGTTGAAGTCCACTCATCTTAGTGGCCATGTTTGGACAACACTGCTCTAGAGGGTTTGTCCCTCAGCCTGAGTCAGCAGAAGACAACTTTCTCTGTTTCTGTAGCATAAAGCACAACAAGATTCCTCAAGGAACCATTAAAAGCAACGTTAAAAAGGAAAGTTTACAGGCTTACTAAAGGTTTGTTTATTATATTTATACAGTTACATATTTTTGTTGTGAGGGAACCAACTAAAGCTCCCAGGTGCCACCATGAAAAAGGCCCTATCCTCACATAACCACCAACTTAGCTTCAAAAAGTTCAGGTGGAAAGCAAAATAGAGTCTCCCCCTGGACATCTCTGCAGGAGCAAATGGCCCTTTAAGTACCATGAAACAAGCAATTTTGGCTGCTAGGAGTATCACTGGCACTCATAAGATTGCACAACACTGGCATAATTTGCTCCAGATAACTGCAATGACCTAATCCACATTTTTCAGCAAAAACTACAGCATCAGCCAAAACTGAGCAAGACCACCTCTGATTACAGCTTCAGCTTTTGGATACAATTAGGTATCCATTTGAACTGTATCAGTGCAAGCTGAGTAATGGGTTGGAGATTTCACACATTATGTGTACACACTGTAATAGGTGTGCACAAATATATATACAGAGAGAGCTGCCTGAGCTGTCAGGGCCTGCTCTAGACATTTTGGCGCCCTAGGCAAAGTCATATTCTGGTGCTCCCTATGATCTTCCGACATGGTTAGGAATTCTAAAAAGTCGCTCTCTTGGTTTTTTTTCTTCAAGTTTTTGAGCTTTACACTTATGATTTTCAGCCCCGGACAATTTCTTTTCTTTTCTTGGACATTTTCACCCAATTTACTCAGTAAGTAATTTTAATTACATCAGCACCCATTGTTGTCGTATGGCAACAATTCTGCAAAATTATATTTAATCCCTGAGGGGGCACACTGACTCACAGAGTGCATTGTTACTGCGGTTTGGTTTTTTTATTGTGTTTTTCAGAAGCCTCTTCAATTTTGGCACCCCCTAAAATTTGGCTCCCTTAGGCTGGTGCCTACTGGGCCTTAGCCTAGAGCCAGCCCCGCTTAAGACCTACCATTCCTGCACAGAGAGAAGTTTATGATTACTCATTCTTGAAAAGGGATGGACTTTTCAAGAAGTTGAGGCTGCCCCATTTGTAAGCTGGGAGGAGGCAGGCAAGTGAGGAAAGGTAGCAGGGTGCTGTCATCTGTGATGTGTCCCACCAAATCCAGAAGTATTCCTGTTCCTTCACAACATGCATTTTCAAGTCTCTTCCCCAAATTTACATTTGAAGGGTGACATTTGAGATTGCCACGGAATTTTCCCTTTTTGTTATGTTCAGATTCCCAAATTATCATCCTCCAAACATCATTACTGTTAAGATCCAACATGTGCTCCTGAATTTTGTAAAGGTTCACATATTGCTTTGTTTAAGATGAGGAAAAATTCTTGTTTGATATTTCTCTTGCAAGAAACTTTGATGTTCCTCCCTCTTCCTTGCTGCAGAAGGGCAACACATTCAGGGCAGCAATAATGGAGAAATCTTTGTGGAGAGAACATTGATCAAATAGGACTGAACTTGAAAGAGGGACAAATTTTGTTAGTCCAGCTTTTGCAGCACTGCCTCCTTCCAACCCTCTCCCATCTCCTCTGCCTGACTGAGATCATTGCACAAGAGGTCTTCACTCTTCAGTTCAGGAAGGTTACACTGAAAATCCAAGCCCCAAAGACAAACATTCCCAAAAAGGCTATAGGGGTCACTGGCTTCTTCCTGACTGCACAGGCAACAGATGGTTTAGACCAGCGGGAAAGTTTGTTTTTCTTTCTCTGAGCAACATTGTGTTTTTGTTTCTTTG